GAGCGGCTGTGTGGTGTTTGGCTGCCTGTGGGGTTAAACCACAACATATACAAAAAACAAAAAACAAATATTCCTTAAATTTGCAATGGAAACTTTAAGGAAAATTTTAGTCTTTATTTTGATGAATTCTTAGTTTTAAATGTTCTTTCATAAGTCTGGATTTTGAGGAAAGGATCTTAAAAACATGACAGAAAAAGTAAAAACATAACTCACTAAAATGAGCTATGTTGTGGCAAAAGAAGGGAATTCCTATGTCACTATTAGTTTACTAGTACACCTCCATGTCCAGTACTGGTGTAGGGATTGTTACGTACAGCAGGGCTTGGGCATTATTATCAATATGCTTTCTGACACATAGGATTGAATACAGCATTGGCTTTTCCTCAAACATTATATCCATTAGTACTACAAAAGTGGCAGATTTTAGTTAAAAAACATGCAGAGACCTGATTAATTCTTTGTAATCCCCTAGTACAGCTAAACCCCACAGTCTGCTGAGGCTGCATTCCTGAAAAGTGCAGCAGTAAGCGATTCAATCAACAATAAAGCAATTTTTCCCGTAAGAATTTATACAGCAGAGAGGGAAAGTGTGCAGTAGCTTGGGAAGTACACATAATTTACATATATGGGGAAAGCATATATGAAGGATGGGGAGCCTGGAGCAGGATCACCAGCACTGTCAGCCAGACAAGGTGCTGATTTTCTAGCAGCTAACTTTTCTGAATGGATTTCCATTCTGAAAGATCTCAGCTGCCTCACCTATGAGGCCAAACACCCAACACAATTATTCGTGTGTAAGCATTTTTGCTGTCTCTTTCTGAATAGTTATATTTTCTTTACTATCACCATCTTCCTCAGATGAAGCAATGTCAGTCAAATAAGCCAAGGGTGAAGGACATAATAGTAGGAAAATAGTGGTTAGCAGAGCACGGTATTAAGTGACTGACAATGGAACTCCAAAATGAAGAGCTGAAAAGTGACAGATTAAGGGGTGTTACTGTATTAGATATCTGGCGTCATTTAAGAGAGAGAGATTTATGCATCTTAAACTCATTTCAAAGTGAAATTAAAATTTAGCCTAAGGTCAATGGCATAAATCTAGTATCTTATCTTAAAAAAATGTATCAAGATGGAATTTCATTGCTTTGTAAATGGAAAAAAAAGTAAGGGGATGTTGTGGTTTAACCCAGCAGGCAGCCAAACACCACGCAGCCGCTCATCCACTCCCCTCCTCCAGTGGGATGGGGGAGAGAATCGGAAAAAAAAAAAATTTGTGAATTGAGATAAAGACAGTTTAATAAAACAGAAAAGGAAGGGAAAATAATAATAATAATAATGATAGAATATACAAACTGAGTGATGCATACCGCAATTGCTCACCCCCTGCCAACCGATGCCCAGCCAGTCCCCAAGCAGTGATCACTGCCCCGCAACCAACTCCCCCAGTTTATATACTGAGCATGATGTTATATAGTATGGAATACCCCTTTGGTCAGTTAGGTCAGCTGGCCTGGCTATGCTCCCTCCCAGCTTCTTGTGCACCTGGCAGAGCATGGGAAGCTGAAAAGTCCTGATGAGCGTAAACACTACTTAGCAACAACTAAAACATCAGTGTGTTATCAACATTATTCTCATACTAAATCCAAAACACAGCACTATACCAGCTACTAGGAAGAAAATTAACTCTATCCCAGCCGAAACCAGGACAAGGGAATAATATCTTTTGTAAGAAAAATAAGAAATGAGTAGCAAAACCAAACATTTATTTCTATTTTATGGACTGTAAGCAAAGCTTTTAACAGGAAATATCTGAATATTTATCTTTTGTCTCCAGTAGCTATAAGACAAACCAACCTTTTTAGCAGGAGAACTTGGTTTGAAAGGTGGTGCAATTGGCTTCTCTGGAGGTGGTTTCTTCACAGGTGGCAAAGGTTTGTCATTAAAATAGGGATTCATGTCAAAATACTCCTGGGGATATAGATTTAACTTGAAAGGCCCTCCTTTAACCAACTGTTTATGTTCCTCTTGCACTTTCTGTAAAACAAATACTTTGAAAGAAACAATCTTGAGGATTTTTACTGTATGTTATTCTAAGAGAAAAATGGAAAGCATTTAAATTTAGTCTTGGAGAATGTTCACTCTAACTTTCTTTGCTCTTGTTTGACCATCGAGATATTTTATATACCCACCATGTATAATGGAACATAGATTCACTGACCAGGAAGCACAACAATCACTATGAAAGTATGGTAGGAAAATGTCAGGAAAAGCACTGTGCTTTTAAGATGTGTCTAACAGTATTGTATACCTGTATCTTGGGCATACATGCATACATACATGCTTGAAAATTCTGTCTGCATGCACCCCAGCTGCTCACACTTGTGAACCCTGGCCACTATGATTCCCAGATTCTGAGCACCTTATTAAGCTGAGCTTCTCTAGGAATTGGTTCTTTGTACCATGGGAGATGTTGACTACTCTTCCCAGATTCCATTTTAAAATAAATTAGGTTAGAACATTACGAACAATTAAAAGACAAGCATAAAATATACCATCAGTAATACAGTATCATGTGGTAATTCATGCTAATGTCTCAGAGCAAATTCCTTTTTTTCTATCCAGTGGAAACAATCCCACCTTCCTCTTTTCTCTGTTCTTCTCATTTTCTGCACTGGATGCTTAGTTTTGACTCTGAATTTTTCTCAACTGCAGGTAGCTGAATTGTTTCTTCTAATCTTGTTCTTACCCTAGACCAAAAAATGCCTTCCTGCTGCCATTTTTCACTACATATGATGAAAATACACACGACAACTAAAATTAAGCAAATTTATGAGTTTTCTTAGATTTATGAATTTATATGAAAAAAGGAACAGGTTTTTTTTATATAGCATCTAGGATAATGAGGTCCCATTCTTCTGACAACAACACAGAAGTATTCTTGTTCTTGCTATTGGCATTGTTTGGTCTTTATTGCATTATAGCTTAAGGTCTCCAAATAAAAAATTAAGGTCAAATCCTGAATGGTAGAACTTGTGTGGGATACTGCCAGATGTCTCAAACAAAAACTAATAAATGAACAATACCTAAATCTTTTTTATACAGGATGGTCATTAATTTGTTTTCCTTCCTCCACTTTGTAAATAAACATTAGTGGTTTCAAGCTAAAGCAAACACCACAGGGGACAAAAAGTTCATGTAAATTGTAATAAATAATCATAACACTAGTACATAATAAAGACAAATATTTTTACCTTTGCATTTATTCTTTCTACTTCATACCCATCAGGTTCATGCGGATATTGTTCACCTATAGTAAGGTTTGCATAACTGTAAAAGCAAAATGAATTACTTAGGTGCTAAAAACTCAAGAAACATTTAATAAAATACTCTGCAAGAAGCAATATTGTGAAGTTACCCATATCCAGTTCCTTTCTTTCCTGGATTAGTATAAAAATTCTTTCCAGGAGGAACGTATCTTTCTTTGGCTTTCAGTTGTGGACTGAAGTATGCATACGAACCTCCTATGGTTCCATAATAGCTGCCAAGTCCACATCTAAAAATAGCAAATGAACACATTAATTAATGTTTTGCAAATATTTCAGGCTTTCCATATCTAGTGTGCTAAAACGACAGTAAATAGAAAATCCAAACAATATATACATCTCAAGAGTTAAATATCAGATCAGATCCACTGTCCATGGATCTACTACTACAGCAATTCCATGCACAGTGTTATGGACAAAACAGAAACAAGATGGCGGCAGAGATTAAGTTTTAAGGTATCTTAATAATATAAATATGCTTAATAGAGGTTGTCTCAATTTTGCGCCAACAAGGTGAAGTAACACTGGTAGAGACAGATTCACAAAGACCTAGAGGAATAGGTTAAACAGACTTTATGCTTGATGACAAGAGGACAGTCTTTCCCACAAGTTTACAGGGAACAGAAAGTTAGTGTTGATAATGGTGTGGCAGGCAACGTGGGGTATCTATCTGAAAGGTGTTTTTTCTGGGAGATGTTAGGAGTAGTTAACTTTCTGTCTTGTCACAGAAGGAAAGTAAAAGTAGGCACAGCTCATTTAGGAGAAATACCTCTGCCTACAAAGCTGCAGGAATTCACGGAGACTGTTTTTAAAAGACCAACTTGAAAATCAGTATTTGCTGATGAGTGTGTGACATGCTCTCAAAGTACATGATCATACAGCCGCTAAAGGAGAAAAGGACCGAGGCAAACTAATGAAAGAGCTGAATGGCAATTTGGTCCACTAAGCTGCAGCTACAACGGTCCAAAAAACCCCAACTAACCAACCCTCTGTCCCCACGCCTCAAAAGCCCAGAACAGGACAGGAAAATATAAACAGGGGCTACTGTATGAGATCTGTCAACTACTCCAGATAGCTGAGGTAATCTGCTTCGCCTGTACTGTCTGCAATTATTGTGGGGAGAGAGTAAAGTGTCTCAATGAGTTCCTACTTAAAAGGGCCATTAATGAATACTGACAGGATTAGGATGTCAAGATAACATTTGTCATCTTTGCACAGAAGGCTAATCTGCCTGTTCGTTACCCTCTCTTTATTTAGGGACTTCATAAACCCATATATAGAAAAAAATGGGCAGACTGACAGCGCACAGACCACGTTTATCTTGCTGTTTCCTAGACCTTAAGCGCTTTATTTCATATTCTTTAAATGTCACTTCTGTGTGTAGGCTTTTTATATGCCAGTAACAAAATAACAGAGAACAGACATATGAATTAAAGAAAGGCCCAGGCTTCAGTCACATCTTCAGAATATGACATCTTTGCAACCTTTCCATGTGCAGCCCACAACAAATGTGGCTCCAATGTAAAGGAAAGATTCCCCAGAGCTGCTTCTCATTCAGGCAGCCAAGGATAACAACTCCATGAAGAGCAGCAGAGCTCTGCACTAGTTCCGATGGGAGTCAGTATTTGGGTATAAGAAACGTATAATCGCTCTCCATAACTGCTTCAGGATTCCATTAAAACACAACCTAAGCACTTTCCCACTTCTGCTTTGTACTACTCTGCCAGTACAGATTTGGGGAGGATAAAGGCAATAAAGAACCTGTCCTGAAGTTCATGGCTAGAATTCAAAAGACTTACAACAAGAATAAGAGCACAAGCTGCTGCACCCACAGCCAACAAGTACATTTGTGAAGGCAGCACATGGAAGAGAACACATTAGCAGGTCTTCATTGTAAGCAAGACTCCCACTGTTGGACTCAGAACCCAGAAAGTAAGTGAACAGGACTCTCATTGACTGACATGGATTTGAAATCTGTGCCTAGGTGTATCTAACAGTTAAACCCCTATAAATAATTTGGTTGCTATAAAGTCAAGTTGTAGTTGAAAGAAAGTTTTGAACATAGGGCTCACACATTGTCTGTCCCATCAGAAACAGCACACATATATCCAACAGAAAGCCTACACACCATGTCTTACATTCCTATTAAAAGCCAGAACATAGCTAAACCTTGCATCCTAAAATATATATATAAAATAAACAAATGATTACTCTCCAAACTTTCCAAAAGCAAAGCTGCAGAAAGATATGACTAAATATAACCATGAGACTGTAAGAACCAGGCCCTGTACACAGTCTGAATCCTCCTGTCTCTTATTGCAGCAACAAGAACAAAAGATGATTGTATAGTTATAAATGAGTAACAGTAACCAGGCTTTATCTTTTTTTCACATGTGAATAATAATAGTTATATGACACCAATTGCATTGGTGTCATTTTGTCATGCAATTAATGTTGTGCAAATAGCAAAGATGCATTTATTTTAATATTCCGCACATATTCCTCAGCTCTGTAACATCTTCTGATCATCCTATAGGATAATTGGTATTTTTGCTAGCAAAAAGGTAATGGATATGGATTCGCTGAGAGGAAAACCTTGCACCCGGATAATGGCCCCTTTTCCTACTGTTTATGCAACATATATGCCATCTCTATTTTGGGGGGCTCACAAATGGGAGGGAGAAGATATTGTATCTGACAAGTTCCAACAGATGTCCTCCTAAATCAAAACAAAATATTCATTTGTTAATTATCCACACCCTTTTCCCATAGCCATCTTCATTTGCATCGAAAATAAAAAGTTAAAAGGTAAGAAAACTGTTTACAGCAAAAAAAAGTAAAGAGCAAGGATCAGGACCTGATTTCTACCTGTGTTCAGCCTTCCCCGTGTTGCTGCTCAAAATTCTTTGCTCAGTCCTGACTAACACTACATTGTTTAAAACAACAATATAGTACTCTCATTACAGATTTTATAAGCAATAACCTGTGAAAATCATCTTTAGCATACAGAAAAGAAAAAAGGTCAATTTAAAACATTTTCACAACACTTACGGGAATTTGTCTCCATTACTGGGAAGGAAAGCTTTGCCCAAATTTTTCTTTGATTCTGCCAATCTATGGCGTCTCCTTAGCTGAACAGGGTTTGAGTAGGCTTCACCACCGAAAATCCTCACAAACTGGGGCTCAAAATAACCTGCCTGCAGAGCTGACAATGTTTTGGTCCCCCCAGGTAACATCTGTCTGTTCTTGCTCGCAGCTTCGTTAAAAGGGCCTTTAAAAAAGTAAGCTCTGTAAATACCTGTTCAGTGTTAGTGCTTCTCTTAGCCTACGTTAAAAAATTAAAGTCTGGATCTGGGTGGCTCAAAGAATGTACTACAGAGCATTTAACTTGTAAATCATGCATGTAAATGGTTGTGCTGAAAGACAATGCTATGAGAAGGTATTCACAGCACCTAGTTTTAGTTTTCTAACCTCTGCACTTGCTTTACAGGCAATGGAGAGAGATTGGTTACTCCAGACTACCATTCAGAGCTAGAGCTGACGCCAGTTTATATACTATGAGTAATACTTCAGAGGAGCATCTTTCTCTCCCACTGATTACAGACCAGGTAGAATAGCTTAAGTGCCTCCAGTTGGGTTTTGAATCCCCAGCAGCTCAGTGTAGAAGTGTATCAGCCAGGGTTCTGGTGGACATGTTCGTCACTGACACAACAACACAGCAGAAATGTCTGTATTGAGAAGCCAGGATTATTTTGCATTATCACTTCAGAGCAGCCACTGAGGGTTAACCTCTGCAACCTTACTAATTACAAAAATTACCTTTCTCAATGAGTATTCCCATTAAACAACAAGAAAAGGAGAATACTTTTTAAAAAGACAGGATGGGGAATCTCACACACATGAGTCAGATCAGAACAGAAAAAAAATTGCAACGCTAATTTAAAAATAATGACAATGTAATTGTCAACAACAGAAAACCTGCTGAAAGAGCACACAAAAACACTACTGTTTTTCACAAAAGCAGGAAAATACTGGTAACTTGCAGTTAATTAATATTAAAAAGAAATATATACACTAAAAGATTTTATCAGTCTATTATGCATACATATTTTTCAGTTTTACCGGATTTTTCCTTTCTTCGATATATTCATTCCAACATATCAACCTTTCTCTTAATAATACAGACCTGAGCAAAGAATATGCTTGAAAAAGCAGTTCCCTCTAACAAAACAAAATACATTAGAAAATAGTGATTCTGAAAATAGATGGATACTAGAGGTCTTCCCTATCACTGAATAGTGATTAAAATTAAATGTACTTACGCATATAATGTGATACATATTTATCTCCAATGGTAACATAACCCATTTCACTGAAGAGGCCAATCCTCTCCATATCACTTTTCCCTTCTGCAGGCATGGCTGGATCTGTGACAGTGCACTGCACTAAAAGGGTTGAAGTATCTTTGTTCTACCGCAAAAGTCTATAAGCAGTCCACACCTGTAAACAAAAAGTTTATTTAAGTAAAATGCAAGAAGTTTTGGTTAAAAATATTAGCAATAAATGTAATCTGAAGAAAGTAATCTACAATATGACTGCCAGTTTTGGTGCTTAGAGAATAAATGGACTATGTGGGATTTAGACACCATTATAACTCTGTTAAACAAATTCAAAACATGAGCAGAGAGCAAAAATCAAATGCATTTGTAATACAACTGGTGCAATTCTCACTGAATTTACATAGTTTGGGTCAAAATCTTCAGAATACTAAGATGAGAGGTTTTGGTGGCATTAACAGCTAGTAATAAAATATGCCGAGCAGCCTCTTTCTTCATCTTGTGGGTTACCTCCAGCAATGGTTTTCAGTCACTTTCTAATAATGGTATAGAAGGTCAGTGTATGGACAGTGGAAATTTGGAAAAGTGGAATTTTGGAAGCCCTCTAACTAATCCAAGACCTGGTCACGGTAAATATCTCCGATTTCTTCTTGGTTTTAATGCAAATGATTTACAGTAAATGTTAGTTTTTCCTCATCATCACCCTCATTGGAGCCTGACAGAACTAAGCAAAATGCCCAGTCAAGTGTAAGGAACTCAAGGGCTTGAATAGAGAGCAGCCTTAGCACTAAGATTACCAGAGATCTGATTCCCAGAATGAAAACTAGTAGAGATGGGAATCAGAATCAGCTAGAGGAAGAACTGCCTTGAGAAGGAAGATAATAATATATGGTATGTTCACCAGGAATGGAAATTAAGGTAGAAGAAATTGGTTAATATGTCAGGAAAGCTATTTCTTGAAAGTTGTGAAATACAAGAATTATCCAAAAAATCAAGGATATGCAAACAAATAGCTGAATTATCTGTGTTCATACAGCTCGAAAGAGAGCAGGGAAGACATTAGGGTGGAATACAGATTAAAGACAATGTAGATCAAGTCCCATGTTGGTATTAAACTATGGGGGCGAAGGCAAGATGGAAGATAGGAATGAAAATAACTCAGGCAGCAGGAAACTCTGAGAGATTAATATCACACATTAGCTGTATCTGGCATAGGGGTGCTGAGTAGAAAAGCAGCAGCAGCACAGCAGTGGAAGTATATGTAATACTATAGATTGTATACATTTTATTATAAAAAATAGTATGCTGGAACACTGTGTATGATGGAAGGGCTAGCCACATTTTGCTTATGCTCAGCACACAGGACAGACAGCATGCAGAAGTTTTAAAAACCCTGAAGCAATTTTCTTTTGCAGTGTGTGGAGGTTCACGCAGTGTAAAATGCACCATCACTTCATCAGGTAAACTCAGTGCTGTTCTTTGATTATTGGTAGATCTAGACATTGGGGAAGGAAGCAAAGGGCAGGCGACAACAAATAGCACTGAAAGAAGAGACGACAGAAAACTGACCCTTGGAAACAAACTTAAGGGTTTGCTGTTATGAAGCTAGTTGGCATTACTGATGAGGAGGATATGAATAATTTATCGAAAATAAATAGACCTGGAATTAAATTCCACCGTGTAAAGCAAAGACCGTTGATCGAGGGATTAATGGGAAGGATTTTTACACCTCAGCAGTTGGCTGCGACTGAGGAGATGTAAGGCGGTGGAGGAGCCTGGCCTTGAAGCAGCAATATTGCGAGGCAGCAGGCGGGCAACCACGATTCTGCAGCGTCTCCCAAGGAATCTGCAGGAAAGGTGAGGGAACACCGATATTTTACCACAGAGCGTTGATACCGCATAAACGGGATGAAGTACACTATGGTCGGTTGCCCAAGCTCAGGGCAGCTCAGCTCTACGCACTGCACCACAGTGCGCCGGCC